ACATGTAGCTAGGCGCTTTCGTTAAGTAACGAGCACAGATTTTCCGAGCAAATGTCAGCTGCACCAACTAATTTTTTAATGAGATTATTTGCTAATACACCATAAATCGATCCCCTAATTTGCTAAATACCCACGATATGGCTATTGCAAAATAATAACTAGAATGCTTTTCGTTTCTCTTTCCACCTATACTCGTAGGAGTGTCAGTCTTTCTGTATAGTTATGTCAGCTACTCTCTGTGTCAGCCTCTCTACAACCACTTGTATCAACTTATTCATTATCTCCTTTATTATATTTTTGTTTCTAATTTTATGAAGATATCATGTTAATGCATTCAGCGTAAAAAATTATAGCTGCGAAGAAAACCTATTACTATTTTACAACTGTTCCTATAAGTCTAAATTATTTTAATTACACCACATACTGAGAAAATCAACATTGAGATATTTTTAAAATCGCCAAAGATGTTAATAGTGGTGTTAGCTGTTAACAAATAATGTAAATATCAACATATATGTTAACTGTTAACAAAAACATATACTAGAGGTGTTAAGTGTTACAAGTTAACAAATATCTTATAGATGTTAACATAGGTGTTATGTGTTAACAAATATGCGTACCAACTAATATTAAATGTTAATCTAGGTGTTAACTGTAAACAACTACCCGTGCAATATATTTCTATAAATATATGGTAATATATAATACAAGAAAATAGTAATACATGCGTTCTAAATGTGAATCAAATTCATATAAAAATTACTAACATTCACCATCAATAGAATCATTATCATGAATTTCAACGTTTTGATCAATAGTTGGTGTTAAATTATCTTTGGATTTCGTTGGAATATCAAGATATTGGCACCCAAAGTTTTATGTATTTTATTTAATGATAAATCAAAAAATTTATTCAAAGAAATAGAAAAATTGAAGAAGAAAGGAACGAAGATAATCTAGAAAAAACAAGAGGATAAAATTAAAAAGATAAAGAAGCGAGAGAGAATGCCATGAAGAATATCAATGGAAAGAAATGTCAAAATAAACTGAAGGGAGAAAAAGAATGTAAGAAAAGTGTAAATGTCAAACCGAAATTAAATTGTAAAAGAAGTTGTCTTAATGTCAAATTATAGATAAATTACTAATTTGAATCTTTATTAGGGTATTCGGCTAATTCTCTCATTTTTGTTTTATCTGCTTATCAAGTCTTACTTATTTTTTATCCTTTTTTTTTTTGAACGTAGCCTAATAATGTATACTGTTTTCAGGTAAATCGGTTTTGATTGAATTGAATATGGTTTGGTCGGGTAAAATGACATATTGGGAAAATGTGAAATAAGTTTATTTTTAATTAATAATCACTTGTCTTTTGTGGTTTTTACTAAGTTTAGTTGTTCGTAAAGATCCAACCAGTTGGGCAATACACTCTCAAATGTTTGTTTATATTTTGTTTTTTTGTCAACATATGTTTTTAAGTTCGACATAAATTGTTTTGAATATTTTACTCTGGAAGTATTTATGTAGTCTGTTTGCAATTCTCTTTAAAATTTATAATATAATCAACCGAGAAGAATTTATGTTGTATGGGCAACTTTTGGAACAATACATTTCAATCGAGATCGAATAAGTTAATACTAATAATTGTTTAACAGTTATTCTAAAATATTTTAAGAATTCCAAACCAATAAAAATTACAATGTTTAAGTTGTATTTTCTAAGTGTATATTTGAATTATCTTAACTTCAAAAAGATTAGTTGTGCTATCTATATTTATTTAACTATATATCAATTTATCTGAAAAATTGTAACATTGACAAACAATTATCTTACTTAATTAAAATGTTCTGAAAATAATTTAATTTACTTAAAAATAAAGTTACTTCTCAGATACTACATAGGGAATTAGGGCGTTCTTTAATGTTATAGACTGTAAGGTGTACCAAAATAAAATGAAGTTTAGGGTAATAGAGTGACTATTTCATCAAGATATGAATACGATGAGTATATAACAGAGGGGGTTATAAATTTGATTTTTTGTGAAAATTGAGAACTGAAATATCTTTTTGACAGAGGGATCTAAAAATTAAAAATATAAGATAATAAGAAAATAATTCAAAAGAAAAGGCCTATGAAAAATCGCATAGCAGATGATTGTCGGAGAACTATTTAAATTAAAACTAGATATTTGACCCGCATGTTCGTGCGGATATATTTTTTTATTTTTAAAATATATATTTAATATTAATATCATCATTTTCTTTAAATTATTGTGTTATATTGTGTAATTTTTAAATCTTATTATTTAAGTTTTCATCCAACATTATTAGTGTCTAATATTTTTTTAATTTATTACTTTGTTATTCAACATTATTAATATCTAATGTTTTTATACATGGTAATTTGTTTTTCGAGTAAGTAAAATAAATTCATAATTGAAATATTTAAATAGAAAATCTCTTTTACAATGTTTTTAATAAAATTTTATAAGTTACATTCAAAACATTTTTAGATTTTATTTAGTTATTATAAAATAATATTTATGTAGGCTAATTGATATTTATATTTTGTGTTTAAATAGAACTTTAACATATATCATTTCAGAATATTTCAGTTTTTAAAAATATATTTTTATTTGCTTAACTAATTTAGCTATATTATTCTGATAAATTTTATATATAGTAGCATCTATGGTATTATTTTAGTAATTTTTATCAGTATAAAAATATTTTGGATGATAAGGTATTAAGTTCTATAATTTTTTTTATTAAATTACTATTTCAAAATATTACACTATTTTGTTTTTAAATAGTATTTTGTTTGTTGTGTTCCATTTAAGAAAATACACTTTATCATCTATAATTTTATCTTTTATAATTTGGGTTCTTTTCAATTTGATTTTAAGAAACTTTTTTCAAAATCGTATATTTGATCAAGAAATATTTTGAAAAGTACTAAATATATTTGATTTTTAAAGATCATATGACTTTGAAATTTTTGTTACTAAATTACTGCATTATTGTATACATGTTTGGTTATATTTTAATCTATTTTCTCAACATATTATTTTATAATTAAAAATAAATTTGTAGTTAAAAATATTTTTCATTAATATTTTTTGTATTATTAAAATTTTATGACATACTACTTATTATATAATACATGAACTAAAATTTAGTTATATACTAATATATTTTGTATATACTCATTTTTAGATAATATATAGTTGTGAGTTTTAAGTTAAGTAAAATATAAGATATAGTTGGAGATATAAAAATTTAACGTTTGCTAACATTTTTTTGTATGAAAATATACATAGTTTATGTATGTTAATCTTTTTAACGGTGAATAATAGTTTGTTTATTACAGTAAAATAAATTTAAAAATAAAAAATTTAATTCATTTTCTACTTCTATTTTAATATAATATAGACTATACTATGAAACTTATAAAATATGATATAATTTTTTCTTATAGTCAAAATTTAATTAGTATTAATGTATAATAGTATTATATTATTAATTACGAAATTAATTATTGTGTTATTTTATAAAAAAATATATTTGAACTTTTAGTAAGAATTTGTTACATTTTTTCTCAACTGATATAACTAAAAATAAAATTTAAATCTATTCTTTTTCAGCATATTTGGTGTATATTTTATTGATTAATGTAAATAATCAAATATGTCATATTAATTATTCTATAGTATTTAAGTGAAAAACTTAAAAATAAAACTTTAATTTACCATATTTATCTATTTTTATTTAATTTATAGTGTAATTCTGTTTTAATTCAATATAGACTATAACATGTAAATTATAAAAATATGATAGAATTTTTATTTGTGTTTTATAATAAAAATTAATTAATACATAATAGTATTATATTATTAATTAGGAAATTAATTATTGTTTGATTTTATAAAAAAAATTATCTGAATATTTAGTAAGATTTTGTTAGATTTTTCTCAACTGATTGTGTTATAACTTAAAATAAAATTTAAATCAGACATGCTGGTATATAATTGATTGATTAATGTAAATAATCAAATATGTCATATTAAGTAATTACTGAAATGATTCTACTTAGACTTATTTATAGTAGATTAAAAATGGCTATATTTTAATAGAGTAGATAATTTAATTTTCAATGAACTTCATATGCTTTTGGGTGAATTAACAAAGTTAACATGATAAAATTGTTTCAGAATTCTACTATCTAAACTATGAAATTTAGATTTCATATAATTAAAATTGAGTTTCACTAAACACTATAAATTCATTAGATCTTTTTTCAAATTCATTAATTAAAATATTTTCAATAATTGTGAAATTAAAATTATGTTTTAAATTTTAAAGTTTAATACTGCTAATTTTACAAAAGTTTTTAAATTTGTATATGAATAACAGATGATTTGTTATTTGTATAAGTCTCTTCAAATTCTAGTATACTTTCAGTGGAGATTTTCAATGAATATTTTTACTATGAAAATTTCTTTTAAAGGTTAAAAAAGTGAAAATTCGTTTAATTCTTTTTTTTGGAAAATAAACTGAATTTTTTTAAACATTTTATGGCTGTTCCAATATTATTTTTTTAAAAAATCGATATATCTAGCTAAATTATATTAAAGTATTAATTTAAAACTCATGTGAGTCGTTCATTATTTGAGGTGCTTTTGAATGAGTAGGCTTATCATTTAATATGTGTATTGTTCGTAGTGAAAATCTTTCTTGTTAACTACTTTCCATACGTCGACGTCTTTGTGTAGGGAATCACGAGATATGTCTACCAAGATATACGTGGACGTGAACTTCCATGGGTCTATAAATACCCATGCAATTTCCCAATATAGATCACTGCAACAATCATTACTTTCTTCTCAGGTCAGCTCTCACCATCTCTCTCCCTTTCTCCTACATAACTGTAATTTGTATAAGACAGTTATATTCATAATTACAGGTTATAATCCTCGTAAGATCGATCAAGCGTAAGCAAAAGAGATGGCCCAAAAGCTGGATGCTAAGGGTGGTGAGAAAGGTGATTTATGGGATGATGGTGTTCACGAAAATGTTAGAAAAGTTTGTGTAGGGCAAGGCCAAGATTGTATATCCTTCATCAAGTTTGAGTATGTCGATGGTTCTCAAGTGGTTGTTGGAGATGAACATGGAAAACACACAGTACTCCTCGGCAGTGGCGGACCCAGGAATAAATTTTACCTGGGTCAGATTAAATATCTTAAAAAATAAATGAATAAAGATGTGTCAGCAGGTGGATTCGAACCCTGGTTTAGGTGGGTCAGAAGGAACACTTTACCAACAGAACCACCGATTCTCGTATGCTCAATTGAACAAATTAATAGTTTTAGAGATTTAAGGGGTGTCAGGTGACACCCCATCTTCTTCTGTGGGTCCGCCACTGCTCCTCGGAGTTGAGGAGGTACTAATATATACTCTCTCTATTTTAATATAATCCATGTTTTAGAAAAAAAAAATATTTCTAAGAAAATATAGTTCACATTTTCAATGCATTAAGTAAAGTTAAATTGTAAGTTTGAAAACATTAACTAAAACTATATTGGTTAAAAGTTATGGAAAATAGTAAATTACAAAAAATAATACACTGAAAATTAAAAATTCATATGGTTTTTTTGATGTGTAAAAATTATAAAACATACATCTTATTGAAACAGATGGAGCAATATGTAGTATAAGTCTATAAATAATTATGTTTTTGAGGTTTTTTTTGTAGTTTGAGGTTGATGCAGATGACTACATCATATACGTGGAAGCTTTCTGTGAGAAAAAAACTGAAGAGACTATCGTGGCTCTAAAGTTTGCGACTTATAAAGGGAAAACCAATCAGGAGTTCCAGACGAGTCCGGGGGTAAAGTATGTTCTCCAAGGTGGCAAAATCGTTGGGTTTCACGGGCGTTCGTCCGATGTTCTACACTCTCTTGGAGCCTATGTTTCTTTCCCATCCACTCCTGAATTGCTTGGAAAGTGGGCTAAGGTAGTAATAAAGTATATCTAAAGAAAAGACAGACAACAATATTAACTAATTGAGGATTGGTCAAAAAAACATAACTAAGGATTTAATTGGATAGGACGCAATGGTATCTATATGCTGTGGAATAAGTGGAAAAAAATACCTTGACTAAAATTGAAAATCCAACGGAATGGTTGTTAACTTGACTAAATTAAAAAATGTGAAAATCTTGGAATCATTCCGAATAATAATAAATCTCTTTGAACATTTCTTGAACAAATATAATTAATTTATAAGGTGGAGCAAAAAGGAGAGGGTCCAGGGCTAAGATGCTCCCATGCCATAGCACAAGTAGGAAACAAGATTTACTCCTTTGGTGGCGAGTTCACACCAAATGTGCCTATTGACAAGCATCTTTGCGTCTTTGACCTAGAGACCAAGACTTGGTCCATTTCACCAGTCACCGGGGACGTTCCGCACCTCTCTTGCTTAGGCGTCGGTATGGTGTCCGTTGGATCAACCCTCTATGTCTTCGGAGGCCGAGACTTTTCCCGAAAGTACAACGGTCTCTACTCTTTTGACACGACCACGAAACAGTGGAAACTGCTAACTCCCGTGGAAAAAGGACCCACTCCTCGTAGCTTCCACTCTATGGCAGCCGATGAGAGCAACGTCTATGTTTTCGGTGGAGTGAGTTCCAAGGAGCGTCTCAAGAACCTAGACGCCTACAACATCGTTGAGCAGAAGTGGGTACAGTGTGCGACTCCAGGAGAATCGCTTAGCGCAAGAGGAGGAGCCGGGCTCGAAGTAGTGGAAGGAAAGGTTTGGGTTGTTTATGGGTTCGACGGATGTGAAGTAGATGATGTTCATTACTACGACCCTGTTGAAGACAAGTGGACACAAGTGGAGACATATGGTGAGAAGCCTTGCGCGAGGAGCGTNAGAAGTGGGTACAGTGTGCGACTCCAGGAGAATCGCTTAGCGCAAGAGGAGGAGCCGGGCTCGAAGTAGTGGAAGGAAAGGTTTGGGTTGTTTATGGGTTCGACGGATGTGAAGTAGATGATGTTCATTACTACGACCCTGTTGAAGACAAGTGGACACAAGTGGAGACATATGGTGAGAAGCCTTGCGCGAGGAGCGTTTTCGCAAGTGCGGTTGTTGGGAAACACATTGTGATATTTGGAGGTGAGATAGCGATGGATCCACAAGCTCACGTGGGTCCGGGACAAATGACCGGTGGGACCTTTGCGCTGAATACCGAGACATTAAAGTGGGAGAGGTTGGATAAGTTAGGTGAAGATGAGGAGACTCCGAACGTCAGAGCATGGTCCGCTTCCACAAGTGGTACCATTGATGGTAAGAAAGGGCTGGTGATGTTTGGTGGAAAAGCTCAGACCAATGCCCGGTTTGATGATCTCTTCTTTTACGGGATTGACTCTGCTTAAACGCTTTAAAACGCCGTTTGATGATACCCGCTTGCGATTGTGTGTGTGTGATTCAATAAAGGGAGGGTCGTGATAGTTGATATCATATGATCCTGATTGTGTGTGTGTGATTCAATAAAGGGAGGGTCGTGATAGTTGATATCATATGATCCTTTATCAGCTTGTCTCTTTTTTATGTTATGTATGTTTGTTTCATGTTTTGTGTTTTATCAATAATTTTCCTATTTTCTCCAAAAAAACACCCGAGAATAGAAAGATGCCAAACTAAGATTCGGAGAGTCATACGTTAGCTAGTTAAATATGAAGAATTATGGATGTGTTAGTAACCCGTAAAACGTCTGAAGATTAGAGCCATGCATCATTAATCAAAACAATTGTGTATACAACACTGTAAGATTAGAGCCATGCATCATTAATCAAAACAATTGCTACATAGACTCTGAGGTTTAGATAGGCTTGGAATGGAGAAGCTGAATGTATAGGTCTGACTTGGTTGATAAAATGCTAAAATAAAATGGAGTACTGTTTGTTTACTTAAATTTTGAGCGGATGAAAGGTTGCTCGAGTGTAAGATTTCAAAAAGATTTGAGAAAAATATTTTGAAGCGTTCAGAAAAATAGTCTTTAATCTCTTAAAAATCAATTTCTAACCTTTCAAAAACCATTTGCCGAAAGAAAAAATTCTTTCAAAAACCAGTTTTGAACATTTAAGAAATAAATTTTGAACCCATCAGAAACCAGTTTTAAACCTTTCATAAATCAATTTTGAACCCTTAAAAATTAACTATGAACCCTTTGGAAACCATTTCTAAACCCTTCAAAAACCAATTCTGAACCATTCAATAATCAATTCTTAACCATTCAGAAAATGTTTATGATCCCTTCTGAAAATAATTTCGAACCGTTCAAAAATTGTTTCATCTTTTCACATCTTTTTTGTATAGCTCATCAACGTGTTCAAAAAAACTTATACAGACCTATATTATGGAGAGCTCAAAAAAATTTTTTTTGGAGATCTCATAAATATTATGTGAAAAGTTTAGAATATTTTTCTGAAGGGTACAAAGTTGAATTATGACGGGTTCAAAATTTATTGCTGACGGGGTAAGAATATTTTTCAGAAGGTTCAATAATATTTTCTGAAAGTTTCAAAAGCAACTACAATATTTTTCTGAATGGCTCAGAATTATTTTTTCAAAGATTTAGAATTGATATTCTGACGGGTTAAGAATGTTTTTTGAAGGGTTAAGAATATAATTTTTTAGAGGGCTCGGAAACATTTCTAAAGGTTTCAAAAACTCTTCTGAAAATATTTGGATCCCTTCAAAAATTAATTCTGAATCCTTCAAAAATCAATTCTGAACCGTTCAAAAATCAATTATAGACCGTTTAAAAAACGATTCTTACTCTTTCAGAAAATAATTTAGAACCCGTCGGAAACTATTTCATCTTTTCACATCTTTTTTGAATTGCTCATTAACGTTTTCAAAAAGACTTATACATACCTATATTATAGAGGGCTCATAAATATTTTCTGGAGCTCTCATAAATATTTTTGAACGGTTCAGAATATTTTCCAAAGCATACAAAATTGAATTCTGACGAGTTTAGAATTTATTGCTAGCGGGTTAAGAATGTTTTTTGAAGGGTTCAAAATATTTTTATAAACGTTTCATGAATAACTTCCATATTTTCTGACTGGTTTCTGAAAGGATCAGCATTATTTTTTGAATGAGTTAGAATTAATATTCTAACGGGTTAACAAATTTTTTTGAAAGGTTAAGAATAGCTTTTTTGGAGGGCTCGAAAACATTTCTAAAGGTTACAAAAAAAACATCTGAAAATATTTGGAACCCTTCAAAAATCAATTATGATCCCTTCATAAAATAATTCGAAACCCTTCAGAAATCAATTATGGGCCCTTTAGAAAAAGATTCTGACTTCTTCAGAAAATAAATTTGAACTCCTCAGAAACTATTTCATCTTTTCACATCTTGTTTTGAATTGCTCATCAACATTTTCAAAAAGACATACATAAAAATGTTATGGAGGGCTCAGAAATATTTTTTGAAGATCCCATAAATATTTTCTGAAAGGTTCAGAATATTTTTCCGAAGGGTACAAAATTTAATTTTGATGGGTTCAAAATTTATTGCTGACGGGTTAAAAATATTTTTCTGAAGAGTTCAAAATATTTTTCTAGTAGGTTCAGAAACAACTATAATATTTTCCTGAATGGTTTCTGAAGAGCTCAAAATTATTTTTTGAAGAATTCAAAATTAATTTTTTGATGGGTTAAGAATATTTTTTGAAGGGTTAAAAATAACATTTTCGGATGGTTTGGAAACATTGTCTAAAGATTCCAAAAACCTTCTGAAATTTTTGGAACCGTTTAGAAATCAATTCAGAACACTTTCTTGAACCAATTCTCAATCTAAATATACGCAATCTTTAAACATTTTTAAATAGAAAGTGAAAAGAAAATAGTTTTTTAATAGGGTGAACAGTGATTGTTGGTGTACTGTTTATCTCCTTAAAATTTGAGCGGATGAATGGCTGTTAGAGTGTAAAATTTTGAAAACCCTTTAGGAAAATATTCTGAATCTTATAGAAAACAATTCTGAATTTTTTAGAAAACAATTTTGAACCCTTCAAAAATCAATTTTAAGCCCTTCAGAAACAAATTTTGATACCTTGAGAAACCAATTCTTAATTCTTCGGAAAACAATTCTGAACCTTTTGAAAACCAATTTTACCCTTAAGAAACCAATTCTCAATATAAATGTACACAATCTTTAAACATATATAAATAAAAAAAATTAAAAATAAATAGTATTTTAAGGGGATGAACAATGATTGATGGTGTACTGTTTATCCCCTTTTAAATTTGAGTGGATGAATGTATGTTGGAGTGTAAGATTCCAAACTCTTGGGAAAAGTATTATGAACCCTTCAGGAAAATATTCTGATCCCTTTAGAAATCAATTTTGAACTCTTCATAAATTAATTCAGAACCCTTAATAAATCAATCTGAAACCCTTAAAAACCAATTCTGAAACTTTCAATACGTATTCTAAACCTTTCATAAATCAATTATGAAGCCTTAAAAAACCAATTCTAAAGTCTTCAGAAACTAATTTTGAATCCTTCAGAAACCTATTCTGAAACCTTTAAAAACCAATACTGAACCATTCAGAAATCAGTTTTGAACTCTTCAGAAAAAATTTTGACGCCTTAAAAAATAATTTCAAACCGTTCAGAAACTATTTCATATTTTCACATTTTTTTTTGAATAGCTCATCAACGTGTTCAAAAAGACATATAGATGCCTTAATATGGAGGGCTCAGAAACACCTTTTTTTGGAGATCTCAAAAATGTTTTCTGAAAGGTTTTCCAAAAGGTACTAAATTGAATTCTAACAGGTTTTCGGAATTTATTATCTACGGGTATGAATATTTTTGTGAAGGGTATAAATATTTTTTTGAATGGCTCAGAAACAACTACAATATTTTATGAATAGTTTTTGAAGAGCTCAGAACTTTTTTTAAGAATTTGAAATTAATTTTCTGACGTATTAGGAATATTTTTTGAAGTGTTAAGAATAACATATTTTGGAGGGTTCAGAAACATTTTCTGAAGGTTTCGAAAACCCTTCTGAAAATATTTGGATTCATTCAAAATTTAAGTTTGAAACCTTCAGAAACCAATTCTCAACCTTTCAGAAATTAATTCTAGACTCTTTAGAAAAATTTAAGTTTGACACCTTCAGAAAATAATTTCGAACCCTTCGGAAACTATTTCATCTTTTTACATATTTTTTTGAATGGTTCATCAACGTTTTCAAAAAGACTTATACAGACCTATATTATGGAGGGTCCAGAAACATTTTTTGGATCTCTCAGAAATATTTTTTGAAATGTTCGTAATATTTCTCTGAAATGTACAAAATTTAATTCTGACGGGTTAAGAATTTATTGCTGGCGGGTTAAAAATATTTTCTGAAGGGTTCAAAATATTTTTCTGAAGGGTTCACAATATTTTTCTGAAGGGTTCAGAAACAACTACAATATTTTCTTGATTTAATTCTGAAGGGATCTAAATTATTTTTAGAAGATTTAGAATTAATGTTTCGACGGGTTAAGAATATTTGTTTGAAGGGTTAAGAAGAACATTTTTTGGAGGGATTGGAAATGCTGTCTAAGAGCATCTCCAAAAAGACACTCTATTTTAGAGTTTGCAAAACTCTATATTTGAAGTTTGTAGGTGTTATGCTCCAAAAACAAAACTTCAAACTTAACTTTAAAACTATTTATATTTTATACTATAGTCCTTATATTTTTCATAATTAGTTTAAATTCATAGAACTTTTATAAATAACTAACACATATATAAAAATATTACAGCAATATTAAATGGTAAAATATTACACTAAAATATGAATTATTAATAGAAATATATAATTAAATGTTAAACTATAAATAAAATATCAACTTAAGTTTTGTAATATTGTTGTTGTCTAGTTCTAATTTTAACTGTTTTAATCTTATCTTGTTTTTTTGGTGAAAACAATAAGTGTAAAATTTAAATTTATAAAAAAAAAAACTTGAAATATTAACGAGATATGAATTTTCAAGAGTTAAAATGATAAAAACATAAAATATATAAGACTTATAAATATAATGTATAATTGTAAGGACCAAAATTGAAACAAAATATGAAACTTCAAATTTGAAGTTTTGAGTAGTGACACTCTATATTTGAAGTTTCACTACTCAAAACTTCAAATTTGAAGTTTTAGAGTTTCTTTTTGGAGAACCAAAAACTTCATATTTGAAGTTATAGAGTGTCTTTTGGAGATGCTCTAAAGGTTTCAAAAACCCTTCTAAAATATTTGGAATCCTTCAGAAATCAATTATGAACGCTTCAAAAACCATTTCTGAATCTTTAAGAAATTAATTATGAGCCTTTTAGGAAAAAAAAAATTGAAGCCTATAGAGAATAATTTCAAACTCTCATAAACTATTTCATCTTAACACATCTTGTTTTGAATGGCTCATTAGCGTGTTAAAAAAAACTTATACATACCTATATTATGGAGGCTCGAAATATTTTCTTGAACATTTTTTTGGAAATCTCATAAATATTTTTTAGAAAGTTCAGAATATTTTTTGAAGAGTACAAAATTGAATTCTGACAGATTCAGAAATTAGTGCTGACAGGTTAAGAATATTTTTATGAAATGTTCAAAATATTTTTCTGAAGAGTTCAGAAACATCTACAATAGTTTACTGAATGGTTTCTGAAAGGCTTAATATTTTTCCAAGTTGAATGTTTTGTCATCTTTTTTCTTTGTTTCGTCATTGGCGTGTATTGAATTTAATAATAAGATGCTTAAAATTCATAAACAGTTTGTCACATACACTCTCTCTTGCATAGATATATACCTATATATGAAACACACCAAAAACAAAACCTCTTTAATTTTCATAGCTCGAATCGTACAACAGTTTTGATTTCCGGTCATGATGACATAGTATTACGAAGAATCACTAGTCAGTGCCATTCGTTGTTTCTGAGCTTCTGATGGCAGCTTAACCTCGGTTGCTAAGCCAATGGCCTGGAGGAACCTAACGACGTACCAAGTCATATCAAATTGCCACCATTCAAGTCCATGCCGAGCAGAGAACTCGAACGCATGGTGATTGTTGTGCCATCCTTCTCCAAAAGCCAGAGCTGCTACCCACCTAAAATAATCATAATTCATAATAAAATTATATATATATATATATATATATATACATATCTCAATGGACCAAGTTGCTAAGGATTTGATCGATGATGGAAGTTTACCAGTTGTTCTTAGACAAATCTCCAGTGTTCCAAGCTTGGTTTCCCCAAACATGACAAGCTGAATTTACTAGCCAAGTTATGTGATATACCCATACTATTCTTACACCCTGCATATAATTTTTTTTTAAAAAAAAATAGAGTTATAAGGTCTGAGACATAGTGGCAGGAAAATCAAGTTTTTCATGTGCCGTTTACGAAACCGCCAAATGTAGTTTGCACTTTAAAGCATGCAAAAATGATGTTTTGTAATTAAATACAAGCAAATCAAATTCAGTCACATTCACGAGAAGAGTGTGAGCCAGATAGATCTTTCTTACAAGATAGATCAGATATGTTGTACTTGTGGTTCTCTGCTTTACTAAATTTAATACAAACTTGCGTGGCGTAAAGTCAATAACCTAAGTGGCACTAAATGACAAAGACCAAAACTAAAGCAGCTTGTCTAAGAATCAAATGGGCAAAGATATGGCCTTGCAAATTCATAGCCACACAAAAAGTGGTGGATTTTTTCTGTTTTTCACCAAGCTAAACACACACACATCCTGTACTATCTATATCTCATTCTTGAAATTAACGATGATAAGATACAAAATGCAAAGATAACATACCATTCCCCAAACGATGAAGGGGAAGCCACCCATTGCGTATAGAGCAGCCGCTAGAGCCACCGGATGCCAAATGTAGGTGGTTTTAAGGAACTGATAGAACGGCTGCTTCTCCAAATCCCCAACATTATTAGGCTCCCCAACCTTCACACAAACACTAATAAACAAACAAACAGAGAATACATTTTAAAATAAAAAAATAAACAAAAACAAACTCTTACCCTTTGTGTGATAGTATTAGTATCAAACATCCAATTCATATGACTAAACCAAAACCCTTCAAGTGGACTATGAGGATCTTTATCCGAATCACAAAACTGATGATGGTACCTATGTGTACTCACCCAATCAATTGGATGCCCCTAAACACAAAACACAACATCAAATTCCACAAACTCAAACATGACCATTTAAAACAACAAACTAAACTTTACCTGAAGAGCCTGAGCTCCACAATAAGCAAACAAGTACTCAAGCCACTTAGGAAGCTTAAAGCTTCTATGAGTAAGATTCCTATGAAAAGACAAAGTAATCCCCAAGAGACCCGTCACAATATAAAGCACAAAAGCAACCGAAACAGCTCTCCAATTAAACTGAAACGGAGCCAACAAGCTAAGCAAATGCATTGAGACAACAACAGCAACAGCTCCAAAATCCATCGAAGTCCATTCTCTCTCCCACCAAACTGCTTTATCTGTCTTCTTCTTCACCATCACATCCGAAAGTAGAATCCTTCTGTAATCTTCTCCAGTCTCCGAGGCGGCTGCAGCTGCGGCGACATCTCGCTTCGGAGCCTTGAATGCGAGACTGGGCAGCTTGAAAGGAGCGAGCTTTTGGTTGTGGGTGAGTGAGATTCCGGTGAGATTCAACGAGGGTGGGGTTCTTAGAGGTCGTGGAGGAGAAGAGAGGAAGAAAGGTTTGGGCTTTGTTGAGGGAGAGGTTAAAAGAGACGCCATTGTCGTCGACGTTGTAGCCGAGGAGAGGAGAAGATAAGACTTAAACCCTATATATACATATATAGTATTAATGTATGTGTGCGTGTATGAATCAGGGTCGGTCTTTTTTGTAACAGCAAGTAGTGTAGTTGTGGTGACAGAGACGTGTCTAAAGATCTAATCTTTGTGGCTTAAGAGAGAAGATAAGATGGGTCTTAGGGATTTGGATTGCCAATTTGGGGCAGTGAACTAACCACGGATCTTCTCTTTTCGTTTTTAATAGAAATAGTCCTTTATGTTCTTGTAAACTTAACAAATCGCCCCGGTAGTTTTTGTATGATCATACATACTTGGGCTTTAGATAGATTTATCCAGATATGGGCTTTGTTTTGATTTTGGCCCATTAGTTCTTTTCTAGTTAAGAAAATTCAAATGAGTTTCGACAATTCAAACAAGATATTTTTCTGTTTATGAGATTTCAAAGTCTTTGTTTTCATCTGCCAAGGAAAAAAAAATCTAGTAACAGATATTTTGTATATGTGGTGGTAAATAAACCCTTATCTTGAAACTATATAAGTATTAATTATTCTTCATTCATCAAATTCTAAAGAGTTTATCATCAGATCGGTTCCCATGGCTGCAGCTGCTAACACCGCCGTTTTTGTATCTCCTTCACAGCTTTTATCCTCTAAACGCAGTTTTAGTAAGTATTTTTTGTACTTCTTTGATGTTAATCTATGTACTCAATGCTCTGTAGTATATAAAATTTGAAGGTTTTTTTGGATAATATATGTAGTGTACAGTTCAACGGTTAGTCCAATACAGAGGAGAATTCCAAGAAGGAAACTTGAGCTGCAAGTAAAAGCTGCTGCCACCACTCTTGCACCCGCTGAAGAGATAAAAGAGTATGTTATATGCTTCTAAACCTCCTCTTGTTACTTTGGTTGATGTAACTATAATAGTATAAAATAACATAGTTGATGGTTGATTGATTTGTGTAGCTATAAGCTTCCTTCATGGGCTATGTTCGAGATGGGAACAGCTCCAGTGTTCTGGAAAACCATGAACGGTCTTCCTCCAACCGCAGTAAGTTTCCCTACCCATTTTCCCCCACGTTAACCTCAAATTTAACGATCGTTAGACTCAAAAGTTCTTTCTTGAAATAGGGTGAAAAGTTGAAACTGTTCTACAATCCAGCTGCAACCAAACTCACTCCTAACGAGGACTATGGGGTTGCTTTCAACGGTGAGTTTCTCATACAACATCTCATTAACTTGTATTTGAACTTTATACCAATGAGTTCATTAGGACTCATTTATGAGGGTTTAGTCCAGTTATATGGACTAATAAAAGATGGAAAAAGTTATTCAATTGGATACTAATGGTGCAGGAGGATTTAACCAACCAATCATGTGTGGTGGAGAACCAAGAGCAATGCTTAAGAAGGATCGAGGCAAAGCCGATTCTCCTATTTACACTATGCAAATTTGCATTCCTAAGCACGGTCTGTTTTTACATAAGCATAACCAAAGCAATGATTATGTGATCTAAGTAGTATAAATTTGACATTTTCGTTGTTTGGATGATTCATATTTCAGCTGTGAATTTGATATTCTCGTTCACCAATGGTGTCGACTGGGATGGTCCATACAGACTTCAGTTCCAAGTCCCCAAGCGATGGCAAAACAAACCTATTGAGTTCTTCAATGAGGTATTGCAAGTACAATAATATAGTATTCAAAAATAATAAATATAAAGTCTATTTTTCATTTGGTGCAAAAAGGGTCTAGCTAAAGAGTTGAGCCAAGATGGAGCCTGTGAGAGAGCAATATTTCCTGACTCGAACATAGTTGCGACACGGTGCACAATGATTGCCAACTTAACGGTCGAAGGAGTATGTATCTCACCAACTATATATATATACTACAATTCATTTGTTAGACATACCATTTTAACATAGTTAAGGTTCTTGACATGTTTCAGGGAGATAGATGCAATCTGGACCTTGTTCCTGGGTGCATGGATACAAACTCGGAACATTTCAACCCGTTGGCTAATGTTGATGATGGCTCTTGCCCTCTTGACTTATCTGATTCTGATGAATAGAACTATATAATCTTTCTTCATGTAAATATATAGTTAGTATATGAATAAGTTATACATGTAAGAACTGAATACGATAAATGTCACTCGTTGATTTTTATTTAATTACAAAAGAAATTGATACTTAAAATATCTGACTCTTTTTTTTTAGCCACCGACTATTAGAAATGGTAACATGATGCTCTATTTATTAGTTGAACTAACATACATTGGAGAAACTTCTCAACGACAAAAAGACAGTAAAATAAAGTATGATCTATTGCTTTCCCCTGGACCAAACTATTAATGAATAATAATCATGGATCGGTGGACCTACCCCCGTTAACTTATACGAAAACCATATCCTCCTATCAATGGAACAAAACACATGTTGCACCAAATATAGTGAAGAAGTACATTCAAAATGTCCAGCCAATGAATTTTGGCAGTCACCTCTCTATCTTCTAATATTGAATTGAATGAAATAGTTGTAGAAAGACACTAAGAAACTCCTATTCACAATAACGTGCACGTTTAGTTAGGCTCAACCTGCAGAGATATATACCGTATTCAATTAGAACCATAGGAAAAAGAAAATAAATTTAACTAATTGGACTTCAACTAAATTTAATATGTTCAAGTTCAACTAAACATTTCAAAAGAAAACAAAATTAATTGACTAGCGAGTCTTTAGAAATTAAACTAAAACCATTGCCTAATAAATTGTGTCTCTTGCTCATCATCTCTTCGTACTTCCCAGCCAACGAGTCAAAGAGAATCCCAGCGCCAACTCCAACTGCAAGATCGATCGTGTAGTGTCCTCTCGTCCCAAGCAGCCTAATCGATTGTAATACATTCAGGATGTCAAAAAGCATCGCCAGTCTCAACCTTTGCATTCTCCTCATGTCTAAGGACGCTATCATCGAACCGGCGACATGTCCCGAGTAGAAGAGGAAGAATGAGACGTTTCCCACTGGAAAATCCACTCCTGATCCTAAAAACTCCTGTAAAAAGTGTCAAATCATTAGCGATGCTTTTGACTCTCTCAATGATAATAATAATAAAACTACCTCTTACCTAAAATAAAAATAAACTACTTTCCATTTCGATAGAAATACTATCGTTTTTTAAAAATTTGACATGAAGTTAAATAAATTAATCCTATCAAAACTGAACATAAATTTATGAAAGAAAATTGTCTGTCACATATCCTCTATAAATTAATCATGGAATATTACAACATTTTTTTGTAGCCACGTGTCATAATAAAGATGATTTTCAGAACTTTTATAGAAATATGTTGGTTCAACTAAACATATGTTATATTTTTATTAAACTAACTATCATATTTAATTAGTATTTTACAAAAGAATATTTTCTATTATTTCCTTAAATAAAAGTTACGTAATTACCTAATATGATTAACATATTTAATGATTATGAATAATAAATATTTGATAAAAAAATTTTATCCTATTTACTTTTATGTAATTTTATATTATTAAAATAAATTAAAGAATCACATTAATTATATAATAAAAAGTTAGTTTTTTTTTCTTATATTTTATTTTTTTAAACAACCATAAATTACTAAAAATAGTAAAAATCTCACATTGAAAAATTTGTAATGAATGGTAACGTTTTTTAGTTGAGGCAATCGTCTTTTTAGTGGATCTTAATCAATTTTTAATGATTAACTAAATAGATCACGTATATAATAGAGTGTGTTTTGGTTTAAAAATTATTGCATATCCAAAATTAATATGAACCATCATCCTTTTCGTTTAAAACTTTGTTACAATAAAAATATCAAGTTGGGTAAAAAAAACGAATCCAAATAATCAAACCAAATCTAATCCAAAACGTAGTACATATTTTTAACCAAAATTGATTAGATATCTAAACGGTTTCAAAATTTTGGTATCTAGAAAACCGAAACTGAATCAAAATATTTCGGGTATCCGAGTGTACTCGAACCAGATTTATATACTTAAATATATTAATTATTTTAAAATTTAAAATCTAAGAATATAAAAAATACATGAGATGTTTTAAAATTTTCCAAAATACTTAGAAATATATAAAATAGTTAAATGTACATTTTTAAAATAGTTAAACGATACTTCAAATACCAAAAATACTTGAAATATTTATTATTTTTTGTCCAAATATATAAGATAAACCAATTTTATATCAAGTTTAAGTATTATGGCATTCATTTTTCAAATTTCTATTTTATATATTATTTTATTTTTAGATTTTCAGAAATTTAAAGTATATATGTGAATTTTAATATTTTAAAAAGAAATTAAATGGGTTATCCGAACCTAAACCTAAACCTAACCTGCAAAGATTCGAACAAAACACACAAAGATCTAAACCAAACATAATCTAACCGAACCAAATGGTATCCAAATACGTACCCATTCCTGATCAAATGTAAAAAAAATGTTATTGATAACAAAATATGTATTTAAATATAAAAAAATATTTTTAAAAAAAGCTCACTTCGCGCATAGCGCAGATTGTCATCTAATATTAAATGTTAATGAAGTTCCACGTTATAGTTAGAAATTGTTTCTAAAGAGCCAAGCCCGAAATTCATGAGATTTGAAACAGTTACTAAATATATATTTTTAATTTATGCATTGAATACTATATACATATCAACCACTAAAATTTTGGAAGTTAGAGAGAGATGTTATCTCGCTATGTATAAGACCGTCCTGTCTATCGGTAGTGGCCAAGGAAAATCACACGCCCAACAACATTTGAGGACTTTACATAATTACATCTATTCTGGTACAATATCAATGAATTATTTTTAAGGGTAGAGTATTATAGTATATAGTCTTTCAAAGAGAGAAGGAGAAATGTAAAGAATGGGACCTGAGGGAGAGGGAGCTGAGTAGAGTAACCAAGAATACCGCGACAAGTGAACATGAAGCAAGCCGAGATGGTGGCTCGTGGTCTTCCTTCCATCAACCATGTCCAGACAATATACGTCGTTTGCATCGCTACGAACACCTGTCCCCCACCACCATCCAAACAAAAGTTTTAAATAGTTAAAAAGTACAAAAGTCAAATCTAACCAATCTATTTGCATTGCATGTGATCACGTCTCCATATCACCCATGTGTTACTTTTTAATGGGTTTTAACTTTAAAGTTATAAAGCATTCTATTATATTATACTACTATAGGACAACTATTTCGTTAGAAAGAAATAAACAAACAAAATGGCAGTTGTTAAAAAGAAGATTAGACTTAAATACTAAACAAAGCGATTACATTAAATACATTTATGTCCACTAGTTTATCTACTAACACCATTATTCCACTCTTAGGATATTTCATTGCATGTTGATGTTTACGTTGACAGCAAAATTCCAGCTGGAGAATTAATTACCTCACAAAATAAAATAAAAGATCTGAGATTTGTTCCCATCACTACCACCATTTATTTTATTTGACTAACTATATAATAAATTACTACGATTTAAATGATAAAGAAAAAAAAAACAAAAAGTTAGGTGAGACATGAGGAATTGATGATAAATCATTTAATACTAGTTGTTTTAAACCCTAACTTAATTATCTTACTACATACCGTGTTTAGTGCGGCTAAGACGGTGTTAAGATCAGGTGAATTTGCCAAGACGCGGTTCAGAGAGCGCGTGGCTACAAACCCAACATCGAACGGCTCAGACCTGGCGGGAATCATCTGAAGCGTATACTCGACGCCCATGAAGAACAGAACTCCAACCGCGAACACACACGGTATCCAATGGACTCTCGCCACGTAGATAGCGTCACGCGCCGTCCATGTCATAAACGACGCCTTTCCTACTACATTGGCGTAGCCGTCGTCTGTTTTCTTAACAATGCTCTCCATTGATGAGACGGTTCCGTCAAAAGCGACGTCGTTAGTGTGATGTCCGTTAAGAGAGTTAGATCTGCGACGGAGAGGAACACCAGTTTCTGTGGACATAAGCGTCAGATATGGGTTATATTATATATAAGAGACAGAGATTTCGAAGGAGGTATTGTTTTATATTTTATGAACTGTGAAAGGAAGATTGTTTGTTTGGTCTACAAAACACATACGAAAACGATGAGTATGAGGTTCGAGAGCTACGTTTACGCAAGTCTTTGCCTTATTATTTTTTCTACTCTCTTTGTTGGGCTTTACTTTTTGTACCAACATGTTCTAGAGTTCTTTTTATATGTCAAGTTTGATATTTTAGACGACCAAAAGAAATATAGATAGTGAAGAGTATGTGCCTTTTGTGAAACAGGTGTTTCAAAAAAAAAGATAGTGAAGAGTATAAGATTCTCTCGTTACTATAATAACTATGGTTTTCAGACAAAACCACGTTAGTGGTGTGTGTACATTAAGTGTTAACAATGTTGTATATACTCTAATCCAAGATTATGGAGAATATCAAGAGATTTGATGCTGCGTTGTATACATTAGCCACTAGTTTATTCAGCTGAATATTATATAATTCCCATTTGGCGCAAATCATCTTTCACGCTTTTTTAAGATAAGTATTGAAAAGAGATATAGTACTGAACTTCCACAATCTAGTAATTGAAAACATAGAAGACACTTATAGTAGGCATGCGTATAAATATAATCGGTTATAGAATAAAATCTGAAATGTAGTTGTATGAATTTTAAATTTTTTTTATAGATTCGTACAGATTTTTTTTTTAATTCTAAAAGGTATACAAAATGTAAATTATGTAATTGTCTACATGTTAACGTAACTCAAGGCGATGGTGATTATTTGTATCTTTGTCACATAACCTAGACTAGGCGTGCCTGTCTAATCACTCAATCAGTCGTGTTTGTCTAAAATGGTCTATGCTTGGATTTGGGCCATTGTTGATGTTTTCTTTGATTCATTATTTCTTACCTTTAATAAAGAGTATCGACATACAAATAGATCTCGGTCAGCTCATAATAATATAGATTCTGATTTAGAAATACCATCCATCAATTCCCAGTTTCTTTATACTCAGTAAAGACTCAATTATAAGTAAAGTGTGTACGGGAGACATCATTGTAAAAAATACTCAACATATATGTCGACTAAAAACACATTAAACAACGTCTTTAGGACTATTCATAACGAACTTGTATTGAACATTCGTTCTTTTTATGCTACTGCATATTATGATCTCGCATCATATTTTTTCAAAAAAAACTAGCACAAAAAGTAAAAACCAATTTACTTACTGTTTAATAATGTTAAATAAAAAGTACTGATAAAGTTAAATTGAATTTGTTATCTAGTTGATGGTGCAAAAAGTATTTTCGGTTTTCAACTGGAATTCTATTTGAGATACACCAATAAAAAATATTATATCCAAGTAAATTTACATAGAAACTTTTTAGATAATAAAGAATAAGAAATATATTAAATAGTTTTAAATTTAAAATCATAATAGTTTTATATTTTACACTGAATATTATAGCAGACATGTAAACACATTTAGAATATGATTTGAATTTAGTCAAAAACGATTAAATACTAATATTTTTCAAAGCCATCTCATGTTATTAAACGATTAAAATTTTACATATACGACTTTTAATTTCTGGCCAATAGGCTTTCGGAAGGAGACTAATAAATAATAGTAATAGATATCTTTTAGTCGTCAAAATAAATAAACGCGTCACGCGCGTCTGTGTAAGGGGTGTATAAATAGAAGCGTTGAGAAGGAGGAGGAGAGAGTGTCCATATCATAATCATTCCCTAATCAAACCACAAAATCTAACTTCCGCACACCAAATAAAAAAAAAAGAAAATGGAATTAGTTGAAGAGAAGGCTCCAAAAGAAGGAAAAAAGATGGGAGAAAGAAGAGTTGTGGTGGACAAAGCTTATCTCTACGAAGAAGACCAACCACTCACCGTCTGCAAAACCTCTCTCTTCCACACCGGCGATGGTTTCACCGCCTACGACTGTAACGGCGACATCATCTTTAGGGTTGATTCTTACGGTAGAGATAACGACGAGTTTGTCCTCATGGACGTTACCGGAAAGTGTCTCCTCACCGTTAAACGCAAGGTTAAAACCATTTTAACTACTATAAATATTATATTAAGTCGATCCATCAACTGGATTATATAATATAAAGTTTGATACTTAGCTTGTTGAGCTAGTAAAGTAGTTTTATTGAATGTGTATCGTTTCTTGTTCTTGATAATCTTTAATTATCAGCTAAAATTCGATGAAGATTATTATTTTTTTGGTTAGAAAAGGATCTGAAATAATTGTTTTGAGCTATACAGAATCTAATAAACTGTTTGTCATATTAATTATTAGTTCGAAGATGGAACTGATTTTTTTTTGTTATGAACAGAGACCGACTCTGCATCAGAGATGGGAAGGTTTTCTCGGGGAGAGATCGGACGGTCAGAAACCGATCTTCAGCGTACGTAGATCATCGATAATCGGACGGTGCACGATGGAAGTAGAAGTATACGACGGAACAGGAGAAGAGTACACCATAGACGGTGACTTCTCGCTACGAAGCTGCCTCATATACGACACAGAGAAGCAAACTGTGGCTGAGATCAAACGCAAAGTGGACATGTCAACGAACGTGATGCTTGGACGAGATGTGTTCACTCTAGAGATAAAACCCGGTTTCGACGGGGCTTTCGCGATGGGTTTGGTCCTCGTGCTTGACCAGATCAACGGTGATGATCCAGTTGAGATTGGTGATGAACAAGTACACCCTTTTGTGGAGGATTAATCTCTCTCTCTCTCTCTCACTTTCACTTTCACCTCTCGTCAAGTCTTTGTTCCGGTTTAATCCAACCGAATCTGATCTTTGGGTTTTGTCAAAATCTTTGGATTTGGACATTTGAGGTTGTTTGTATGTTATTAAAGTTGTTACGTTACATAATATATAGTCTCTGTCTCGTGAACTTTGTTGACTGTATGTTGATGTTACAAAGTTCTTGTCTACTTTTCATTCATATATACATTTTATCAGAAAATTGTTCGAAAAGTTTTTTTTAGATCTCTAGAGTTTCAATTGTGTTGTAAAAAAACATAATAACTGTTTGATCATATGTTGTACAAGATTATAAAAGCAAAACTAATATGTTAGTTGAATTACCGACGTATACTAATCTTTATTTAACCACGTAACGTGTATAGTACATATGTGTAGGCAAGTGGAAATTTTATAAGTCATGTCATGTGATTCGTGAATATATATTACTATTTCTAGGTGTCAGTTGACATAAGATCTGAGAGTGCGTATGTTTATTAAATCATAAGGTGGACGAATAAGGATTTTGAGAAAATAATTACTAATATGGGAATCTGATAAAGAGAGAAGGTATATATATCTTGACTACTTTCTCCCACTGGCCACTATAAATATATACTATGATTCGTTATCGTAATCAAAATGTGCATGCTGTCGTAAATGCACAATTAGTTATATAGAGATACTTGTACGTGGTCATAATCCTCCACTATGAATAAGCACATGCACATGTAACTAAAGTAAGTTTTTTTTTGGTAAAATGTTAAGATTAATTAAAGGAAGTTCTTAATAGTTAAAGAGTTATCTTTATAACATTGGTTATCCATGAAAAAAGTAGGAAGAAACTAAAGACTGTAACAGCAGAATAAGCATAGGGATTGCAATAGCTCTACAGAAGAGTTAATTGTGTATCCTCAAGATAGTCTTAGAGCAAGTGCATCAAGAGTTTAGTGCACAGGTTCACACGATTCCCGATAAAAAAAATATTATAATAATCAATTATGTTGAACTCGGCTTACAACACCTCTTCCGCATGAACCGGTTCATGTCTATTTTGCGGGCTCAAAGGCGGCCTTTGGGCCAAGCAAATGAAGCCCATGCTTCCGGTCACCTTTAAATAAATTGAGAACCGGCCACTTAATTTCTAAAAATATCTTTAGTCTAGTGGTTTATTTGTCAGAAACAAAATCTCATGGGCTCAACCCAGGTTCAAATCTGCAAATTACGTGTCAATGTAGCCAATTTTTTATTTTGTTTTTAGTCTAAAAAATGTCAGGACCGACTTTGGCGGGCCCCACACCACGTCGCGACCTGCTATTGGTCCGTTTTATTTCTTTTTTTAATTTTTTTCTTTTTTAAAAAAAAAATCAAAAAAATAATAATAATAAAAAAATGAAATCGGTGAACCCCAAAGCGGGTCACTGATGCACTTGCTCTTACAACTCTAAGAGAACATGCATACACATAATACTGATGTGGCGTGAATGATTAGTTAGATACAAAAGAAGAGCAGCATGAAAGAAAAAAAAGTAAAACAGATTAATAGAGAAAACAAATGATTTGCAGTTGTTAAGCTAATAGAAGCTGTTCAGCAGCTTCTGCTACTACCGTTCCCTCCACAACATTAGCTTTAACAGTCTTGGTCTTTGCATCAACTGGTTTCTTTTGAACCTCTTGTTTGTCAGTCTGAGACTCCACTCTCTCCTTCCCTCTATCTTCAACATGATCTTTCATGGATTCACCAGATTCTTGGGCTGGAGCAGGATTAGTATTCTCCTCTGCAACCATGTTGTCTTTTGCATCCTTCTCAGTTTCAGCAGAGGCATTCTCCTTTTCCTTTGGATGATTCATTTCAGTATCTTCTTCTTGCACATGAGAGTATTCAACTCCTCCCTCTGGTTTCTCAACTTCTTCTGTATCTTTCTTTAACACTGAAGATTTAGTTCGACCTCGCTTCTTTATCTGGTGAGGGAGTCAACTTAGTCGTCTCACTGATTCTTGCAGATCTCCTCCTAGCTAGGTGTCACACTAGTAGTCCAAATCAAACTCTGCGATGACAGGGTATCCAGGGTACGATTTGAGATACTGCTCCAGCTTCTTCCTGTTACTGATCTCTTCACTCGTTGGTGCAACAAACACAATCTCTGTTCCCTCGCTGATCCCACTTTATTGGGGGGGAAAAACTGCAAAAGAGAAAAAGAAGTAACCTATTGACTTCACTAGCAAGTTCCAAGGATGTTCGAGAGTAAACATGCATTACAAGAGACCGAGACGGCTTAACATCCATCAGAACATGCATTATAACCTTTTGAATCACGCAATCAATATATATACTAACAATTCTCAACAAAAAGCTACCTTCTTGTCCAGGTCTTTGAAGGTTATAGAAGAGTGACGACAAATAAAAATATAACTTGTGTTTGGTAAGTACATGATATTGGTAAAAATTGCATTGCACATTATACATCCTCAAATTCTAGGGTATTTGTTATTTAATTAAAGCCAAAAATGAGCAGAGGAAACAAACCAATTTCTTCCATGAAGAAGGTGCTGTTAGCTCAACAGATACAGTTTCATCATCTGTACCTTTTTTGTTGTTGCAACAGAAAACCTTGTGGGAGAAGCTAAGAAAGAAGGTTGAAAAATTTAGGGAGTTTATGGAGAGGTTAGTTGGCTCTGCTTGTTTCTCTATGTATGGCTTTCATAGGACTTCTCGTACATACCCAACCAAAGACGCATGATAAAGTCACTTTACTTTCTTCTATCTAAGGACACGTTGAAGTCTTTATAAAATGGTGGTATGGGCACGTCGTCCACTCTACTCGGTGTTGGCGTTATAAATACTACTTGGTGGTGGTTATGAAATGCACGTGCCAAATACTCCAACGACCTTCTCTGTTTTTGGTATAATTGGACTCCAGGAAGAAAACAAATCGTTAAGGTTTACAAATTCAGACTCATAAATATCCATCTTGTTGACCCATGTCTTTTTTACTCATGCTTAACCGCCTAAAGTTTAATACAGCAGTGTTGTTGGAAACACTTTACTTTTTTCATGTAAAAACTAAATACAGCAATAAACTAGACCATTTCAGTTAACTCTCAACGATCACACTCATTAGTCAAAAGATTTTAGCGCAATTGATTAACCATCATCACTTGAGTTGATGCCAAAACATCTGGTGAGAAATTATTATCTTACCACTTTAATGTATTATTGGATCCTATCATCTGAATGACTGATCTACAAGAAATATGCTTTACTTTACAGGTAATTTGATCTATCAAGACCATAAATATACAGTATGTGGAATATTAATGATGAGCAATCACAACAGACATTGGGAAATTACTTGAAACGAGAACCCTTCTTCCCTTTGCCTTTACCCATCCCATCGACAACTGTAACCCAGAAGAAGAGAGACATCCAAAACAACACCGCCATGAAGATCTTTACGCGGTCTTCAATCTTTGTCACATCTCCCACAACACCTATCCATATTATTATTATGTTCAAACATGAGAACAAAAGAGATTTCTTTTCTTTCTTTTGTTTCTATTTCCACCATTTTTTTTTATTTCAAGATTAACATATGTACTAATTACAAAACAAACACACATATCTATTCAAAACTGCTTAACAGACACACATGATAAACTAATGAAACAAGCCAATAGTAGTAGGTAACAATCACAAAAGACAATATAGTTAAAGTAAACCCAACACAAGCATCAAAGTAGTTTTTGTACTGAATCTCCCGACCAAAAAAAAAGCACATGTTTAAGTGACAACTGATGCAAACAAAGCCCAACCAAAATAATTCCAAGGCAGCGTTTAAATGGGAAATAAGAGTTGTTACCTTCAAGCTGAGTGGTGTTTTCAGGTGGAGGGGGATCAGGACTTGGAGGAGATGGAGGGCCTCCAACGACGGCGAGACGGCGTAAGCGGCGAGAAGTTACGAGTAAGGAGATATTTTGACGGCGGAAGTGAAACCGTGGGGAGAACGGCGGGAGAATTGAGTGGTGGTGGTAGCGGTTAGAGATTCTGGTCGTGTTGAACAAAGCCGTCGCCATACTTTCCTCAGCGATAAATTTTGACCAGATTTTCTTCTTTTTTTTCTTCCTTTACGATATTTAATATTTATAAATAATAATTAGCAGACAGTTAGTGAAAATGCAAAAAAAAAAAAATCTGTTGTAAACCAAAGTGAAATCTGTGTCTTATTCATGTTTTAGAGGTTCCATATATATATGGGATACAAGAACAAGATAAATGGAAAACATCTAATTCCTAAAGTAACAAGGAATTAGAAATACATAGAAAAGGAAAAGGGAACCAGCCGCCTAGATTATTGGGTCACACGACCATTGGGCTGGTTCTAATCTATCTAATGGTTAAGGCCCATTCACTAATTGGTACATAACACTCCCCCTTGAATGGCCTAACCGTATGGGCTTGTACCATGCTTAATGTTGCCTCGTTAAAACCTTATCTAGGAAAACCAAAAACCCAAGGTGGGAAAAATGGAAACCTTAGACAAGGAAAAAGAGTACAACACATGATACTCCCCCTGATGAATGCATCACTGAAAATGGCTCAGTGAACGCATCCCAATCTGGTACACGAACTTCTTGAACGTCTTGGTGGGTAAGGACTTGGTGAACATGTCGGCCAAGTTGCTGCTGGACTGGACTCGGACCACTCGGACTTCTTGGGCCTTCTGCAGGTCGTGGGTGAAAAAGAACTTGGGCAAGACATGCTTTGTTCTGTCTCCTTTAATGTAACCTTCCTTGAGCTGATGTATGCAGGCTGCATTGTCTTCATAGATAACTGTTGGCTCGTCCTTCCCAATGCTCAAACCACTTCCCACTCGGATATGGTTGGTCATGTTCCTCAACCACACAAGTTCTGTACTAGCCTCGTACATGGCTATGATCTCAGCATGATTAGAGGATGTGGCTACAAGTGTCTCCTTCTTGGAACGCCAAGAGACTGCAGCACCACCGTACAAATAGATGTAGCCCGTTTGAGATCTAGCCTGGTGCGGGTCAGACAAGTACCCGGCATCCGTGTACCCGACCAAACTCTCCTTTGGTCGATACGAGTAGAACAAACCAAGATCCTTGGTTCCTTGCAAATATCTCAACAAGTGTTTCACACCATTCCAATGCCTTAAAGTCGGACAGGAGCTAAATCTAGCAAGTAGATTCACAGCAAAACTAATGTCTGGTCTAGTGTGGCTAGCCAGGTACATTAAAGCTCCAATAGCACTGAGGTAAGGCACCTCCGGACCCAGTACGGCCTCGTCCTTCTCCCTTGGTCGGAATGGATCTTTCTCTGGTTCCAAGGNACGACCATAGGGCTGGACAATGGATAGGCCTGGTCCATATTAAACTTCTTGAGTACCTTTTCTGTATAAGTTTTCTGATGCACAAGGATACCATCTTTTATGTACTCAAGCTGTAAACCCAAACAAAACTTGGTCTTACCAAGATCTTTCATCTCAAATTCTTTCTTTAAATACTCAACTGTTTGGGTAATCTCTCCAGAGGTTCCAAGTATGTTCAAGTCGTCCACATACACTGATATAATGACAAAACCTTTGTTGTCAAACTTCTTTATAAAAATACATGGGCATAATTGATCATTCTTATAGCCCTCTTTGACTAGGTACTCGGATAACCTGTTGTACCACATACGACCTGATTGCTTTAAACCATATAAAGCCTTGTTCAATCTTATGCAATATTGTTCTCGAAAACACTTCTTATCTTTGAGCTCAATACCCTCTGGAACTTTCATATAAATCTCATTATCCAGTGGACCATAAAGATATGCAGTAACTACATCCATTAGGCGTAAATCCAAGCCTTCCTGAACGGCCAGACTGATCAAATATCTCAATGTAGTTGCATCCACCACAGGGGAATACGTTTCCTCATAATCTATTCCTGGTCTTTGTGAGAATCCTTGTGCAACAAGCCGTGCTTTATATCTCACTACTTCTCCATTCTCATTTCTCTTCCTTACAAAGACCCACTTATGTCCAACTGGTTTGACATCTACAGGTGTCTTAATAATAGGGCCAAAAACGCCTCTCTTTCTTAATGAATTCAACTCCACGTTTAT